GCTTACAAATTAGTTATTAGAATATTAAATATAATCACTAAAAATGCACGAATTTTTATGCAATTGCAACCTTTACATATTGTCATTCAATAAAATTCTGTTTTAAAAGAAGCACATTTTTTCAATGTTAGTTCTTAAGAAATAGTTCTATTTCTTTGTGCAAAAGCTATTTTCATTGATATACATTTAAATATATGACTGCAAATATAACTTTAATACATGATTGTTTTTAATGAAGTAATAATACGACATTGTTAGTATCTTCGATTTGAAATATTTAACAAAAAATTATGCTAAAATAAGCTTTTCTAAAATATTTTATTTTCTGTAATTACTCGCATTTGGTCAAGTGATTGAACTTACAATAACACTTTTCAAACACTTACAATAACAGTAACTTAACTATGTCATACATTTGCATTCAAAGAAGGCAAACTTTTCTGCAAAATTGTTGATTACTTTTACTAATACTTTTGATCATAATATATCATATTACTTTAGATATTTAACAAATAACATAAGTTCAAATTAGACAATTTTTTTCTTTCATATTTGCCTTTTACGAGTCTTTATTTAGAAAAATATGTAATTCAATTCTTTTCTATTTTTCACACATTAATTAAAAAATATTTTTAAATAAATGTTTAAACAAGAGATTTTATAATTCCGCATAAACATTTACGGTTTTGAAATGTAAATTTCCCCAAAACTTCATTTTCATACTTCTATATAACATTTCAGGAAAACTACTAAATGGAATCAAGTAAAAATTTGCTCGCACCATTTTTAAATGTAAGCCTATCATTTGATAATTGATTATGTTTGAACGAAACGAAATTTTACTTGTAACTAAATTCTATTTTCTATTATTTTCAATAGTTAATTTGCAGCAAATAATGTGAATTTCTTATTAATATGGCAATGAAAAGTATAAATAATTATTAAATTCCCTTATTTTATATGTTCAGAATGATGTTCATACATTTCTAAATAGATTTATATTAATTTTAGCTGATTTTGTCAAAACCGTTTTGTCTTATTATGTACGATAGGCGTATCACTTTAGTAAATTTCGAGAGAAAATTTGAATTTCAAACTAAATTTTCTCAAAAAGTAACAACATGATTTTTAGCTTTATTTTTAATTTATTCTACTTGTTTTTAATTTTTCTACTTAATGTAAATGTTTTAAATAATTAGATTCTATTTTGTATTCTAAATTATGTGCAAGACAAAAAGGAAATGTTTTTTAAGACGGCAATTCAAGCAAAAGAAATATTAAAAAAACGTAAAACATGTGTAAATAATAATAACAACAAAGTATTTTAACTACTAATGAAGCAAATATTAAAAAACAAATAGGGTTTACGCGGGACAAAAGAGGGAAATTACAAATATGTGATCTTGAAATTCGCGAGAGAAAAAAAAATAAATATTGTTTACCAGTTATATACTGAGGAATTTTTTTCCCTACCTCATTTTTTTCCCCTGATCGCTTTCTGTCTTCGTAATTAACGGAGAGCTTAAGCCAATGGGTTGTCCTTCGTTAAAATCAAATTATGATCGTAAGTATTTATCCCTTTTTTTTATGCGTCTAGGAGAGAAAAGAGATAATATTTTTGGAGCTATGGATTTTCTGTGAAATGAATAAAGAAAACTGGATATTGATTTGCATTGCAGATTTTTCTCTTTGAAGAAAATTGCAAATTCTTTTGATTTGCATTTACTGATATGCAGAGACTATGTAGAAATAAATCAATGAAATGTTCGGAGTATTTCTTTAAATTCCATTTTGTAAGAACAGAGACATATCATAAATGTGCATGAATAACAAACAAAAGGATAAAAAAAAAATAATCAATGTTCTAGTAAAGTTGTATTATTTTGATCTATTTTTTAATACTTCAGAGCTTAAGACCTTGATTTCATGAAATAAAAGAAAGTATTTTTGTTTCCTTGCTTTGATTTTTTTAGTTTTCGATTCAAAGGTTTGTGACTTATTTATAAATATTTGAGCGATTTCTGATGTAATTTTAATCAGGATTTTATGAATTTTGTATTTATGAATACGAGAGGATTTTACATATAATTTCCGAAAAAGAAATGACGAATTTGAAATTTTAAATTAATCGATCTTTTGTTCGAATTAATTTTGGTCAATTTTCTTTAGATCATATCTTATTATTTGTTTTAATATATCTTACTCAGTATAACTTTCTAAAGGTATTAATTTTTTGTTATAAGTAGAAAAAAAGGGGGAGGGAAATTCAGATCACAATCTGCATCACATTTGGTCAATGATATCAAATTTAAGCATATAGTTTAAAAGCATATGAAGACTTCGTGGAAGTATAATGATAAGCCACATTTTTAAATTGTTCTCGATAGTATTAAGACCACTTATTGTGAAAAATGCACAATAAACATTAAAGCAATATGTTTTTTTATGTTTATTGAGCAGTTATCTAGTAAAATTTCAGGAAACTTGTGAGAGATTTTTTGGAAATTATCTTAAGGAACAGTCTGATGATATGGTTTATCGCTCTATAGTTTCAAGTCTTTTATGTTTATATCAAGAGATAAAAATAGATATCATGTTGAAAATCAATAAGCTTGCTAAGGTATTGTCTAATCATACGGCTTATTACTATATTGCCTTTGGTCCTTCATATTTCTATTTATAGATAAAATAAATATCATGGAATTAATAAATACGTTGAATCGTATTGAAATCAAGAAAATTCTGCTGATAGGATTTATCGCTATATAGCACTAAGTCCTTCATATTTATATTAATAGTTGAAAATAGATATATTCAGAATCAATAAATTTGCTTAAGAATTGTCTGATGACAATGCTTATCTCTATAGAGCCTTAAGTCTTTCATATTTATAATAATAGATAAAATTGATAAAGTTAGAAATCATGTTCAGATTGAATAAATTTGTTGTTTTATATGAACGTAAATATTTTGTTATATGTAAGCATTATTTCTGTATATGAAATTAATTTTACGCGTTTAGACCCTAATTAACTTTAACTCATAAACTTTTCTACTATTTTCACTACTATTTCTACTGCAGTGAGCATTCCATTGAAGCATTATCTCTTTAAATGATATAAGCTTTACGTATTTAGACCATAATAAACTTTGACTAATAAACTCTTCTAATACTTTCAATGCTTTAGAGTAAGCATTCCTTTGCAGAATGATTTCTTTTTATCAAATTAACTTTATGTATTTATGCCATATGTTTTTAAAAACACCTGAAAACTTCAAGCATAAAATTTACCCGTAGTAATGAAACAAAAATATTTTTAACCAGTTTTTGTGTATAATTATCACCCTAAACAAGGAATGCTTTTAACTTATATAGAATAAAAGATTTCCGATGTAAATACTTTGTTTTTTAAAAATATGCTCATCATTGCTGTTGTTTTGCATATGAGTTTTCTTGCACATGAGTAGTCACGCATATGAGAGTTTACATATGAGTAATCTTTTTTCTGCTGTTCATACTGAAACGCAGGATATTGGTACAGGCTCATTATCACTATTGCTTCGCTTAGTATGAGTAACCCACATGCAAAACGGGATATCTGCTGATTTTGGGCGAATCGTAGGAAATAGTTAAAATCATGTCACAAAGCCGTCTTAGTAGGATTTTCTTTTTTAAGAAAAATTTAAATGCTTAACTAATTGAAACTAAATCAAGGGTATGCTTGAGGAGCTAAGGTATGTTCTGAAAAATGCTAATACAATGGCATATGTAACTAATTGTATCATATGTAACTGTATTGCGCATGTCATGTAACTAGATCGTTCATATATTTTTCAATGTGTTCAATTGCGTTCGTAAATTAGACAGAGGGAAATTAAAGCATTAACATTACAAATTTTGAAAAAAAGTTTATTGAAAAAAGTTTTTGAAAAATTTGAAATATTTAACTTATTGAAGCTGAATCAAGGGTATGTTCGATGAGTGAAGTTCTGAAAAATACTGATACGATGACATATGTGACTCATTGTATGATGTAACTAATGATGATGAAACTAATCGCAACATATGTAACTGCATTTAACAGGTTATATAACTGGTTGGCTCATGTATTATCTTGTTAGGTGCTTAGTTGCATAATTAAATTAGACAGAATGAAACTAAACCATTAAATTAGCACATTTTTTAATGCTTATTGAAATAAGTTTTAAACTAGGAATTTCGCAAACAAATTTAGATTAGAATTTTTGAAATTTTCTTAAAGCTGAAATAATTAATAGATTTTTAAAGCTATAATACTTATCACAAATTTCTGAAAGTTAATTGTGACAACTAATTTAGCTACAATTTGGAAAAAATGAACTTTTAACTTGGCATATTTATGTTATAGTTAGCAAAATTTCATTAAAATTGCTTCAACAATCGGTTTTTAAAACTTTACTTTTTATCAAAATTTCTTAAAAGAAATATGTTGCAACTGTTAAAGCTGAAACTTAGAAAAAATAACTGTTTCGATAATAATGTAATATTAAAATATCTAGACAAAATTATTTAACAAATCTCTTTTTGTTTGCTTGTTTTTTAAAGAAGTACTTGATAGACTTTGCTACGATTGGGGAAAATTATTAAATTCAAAACCACTTTAGGAAATTTTAAAATTTAAAATACTTTAAATATGCAATGAAACATAAGCAAAATAAAATATATTTTGCTACAGAATATTAATTGGTACTAATTTAAATTGTGAAAATTAGTTCCAATGCATATACCATACCAAGGAACTTTATGTCCTTTTACCTTTTGATTTTTGTTGATTTTATAAACATCTTTTACTCTTTTTAAAACTAATAAAACTCATAAAAGTTTTATCATAAATGTAATAAAAGCTGTTTTTTTAATTCAAAGCAATATTAAAAAACAATTTATTTGAATGGCAATAAATATTGAATACTTTATTATTTGATACATGAAATAAAATTATCATTAAAACTTTTTCTTTCAGAAAACTTACATTGTGGAACTTAATGTCTTCCAACGACTAAACGTTATTTTTTCAAAAGATTTGGGAAAAGAACTCTGAGAAATATGGTACGTTACTTTTTGCTCTTGCAAAAATTTTATTGTTATACATTTAAAAAAAATTGTTTGCGATAATGTCTCACACAATATTAAAGTGAGCATGGAAATTATTTTGTATTATCAATAGGTTTAATAAAAAAGAATTTTGAATTTTTATTTTCAGAATGGTATTGAACGTTCAAATGCTGATAACTGTTTTACATAAAAAAAATTAATACCATATTTCTTACTCTTTAACATTATCTTTTAAACATTTTTAAATTAATTTTCGAAATACGTCTTTTGTTTATCAAATGATAAGTCTCCAAAATTTCTACTCTAAAAAATACTTTTTAACTTGCACTTTGTCATCAAATAAGAAAAACAACATTCCTATTGAGAATAGATTTAAATGTCTGGAAAATTTATCAAAATCTATGTTGCATTCAAGACTTTTTATGACAAACATGTCCTTATTAACAATACTACATAACTTCACGTTAAACTTTTTTTTCTTTACTTAATTTAAAATTGAGAAAAAATGTTTCAAGCAATTACAATCGTCAAAACTGTTTATTACACCTTTTTTAATTGAATATGATGAAACATAAAAAGTTATAAGCCATTTTTTAATAGCGAATATTAACTTTTTGTCATCTGAGAATGTAATCTTTTATAATTTAAGAATAATAAAAAAATATGCTGAAAAATTAAGTAATTTTCCTCCTAATTTTTTATTTGATCCAATGAACAATGAAATTTGAAACATAATAAAAAAATTACATCAGTTGTATGTGAAGTAAAATTTATGAGCCCTTTTTAGAAGAGGAAAATCAACGATTACTGAAGTAGCTAAAGAAAAACTATCATGCTTTTAAAAATTTTGTTTCTTCTAAAATCAGACTGAAATTTTGACAAAGTCATGATATCGATTACAGAATATGCTTAACTAATTCTTAGAAATACATAAAAATCATTTTATTTAATGATTAACCCATTCTCATTTATAATGAAAAAAAGTATTGTTTGTTTATGACAACAATCAGCATCAAAATTTAAACAGAATTTTGAATATTTTTAAAATTAAAAATATCTGGAAAGTGACTGGTTGCTTCTTACATGTCGTGAAAAAATAATGTAAAGCCTTTTTCGAAAATTGTTTCTATGTTATTTTAACGAAAAGCTGCTTGTTTTTAGGTCTTAAGCATCCTATATTATTTTTGGTTTTAGATTATAAAATTCAAACTTCTCATAAAACAAAACATGTATATTTTTTTCAAAAAAATCAAGCTATATGTTGGGCCAAAATTTCAAAATTAGAAATAAATTATGTTTTTATACCATATTAGTATACAAGTTGTTGTATTAAAAAGTATTTTGCGATGCAAATTTAAATAATTTAATAGAGAATATATAGTATATATAGTACAAAAAAATATGTAGTATTTAACATATAATTACAGCATGTAATATTTATTAACAGTATCTATAATATAATAACAATATAACAGGAAATCTATTGATACTATCTAACATATAATTAAGTTAATTACTAATAACAGCATAAAAATATCTCTATAAATAACAACAGCATCTAGCAAATATTTTCTAATAGAGATAATAACAGTATCATCAAAATGCTATAGTAATAATTTATACCTAATTAATAACAACAATATAAATATCAGCAAATTTATTAATTCAATTCCGAAACAAAAAGATCAAAACATTATAGCAATTTTTTTTCAGATATCGCATCTTCGTCACAGTAAATTCAAATTGTTCCAACCTTTAGTAACTGTTTTAGTAGAAATTACCCATTTAACCGCTTTTAAACATTATCTAAATCCAATTTTACTTACTGAAGAATGTATAATTATAACTGCATCTATTTTCTTGCCATCAATCAAGAATAATTGGTACTATAATCTATTACATTCTAAAAGATCTTTTACAGTAATGCAAACTTTGAAATGAATCATTTATTTCAGAAATTTTTTTATGTAAGAAAAGCATTTGGAAATAAAGGTATTAATATATTAGTTCAGATTAATTACTCTACTGTTTGATAAGCTCATACAGATTAATTGAAAATACTTAAATTTCATAAGTTCAATTTTTCGATAAAAATTAAATAAGTTTTATAATCTCTTTTTAATGCTCATCGATATGCCATTTCTAAATAAACAAAATTAGTCCTTAACGTCTTAAAAAAAACCATTAATTATACAATTTAATAATTAAAACTACTTTGTCATATTAAATTGTATTTCATGAGTTGAGTGTATTATCATGTAACTTAAATTTTCTGATAAAGTATTTCTTTTTAATTTACTTAACATTTTAATTTTTTTTAATATATGCTTATGATTAAGATATAAGTCAGATAATGAATTAATTTTAAACATCAAGTGTATTAAGGTTAAGAATATTATGTTTGTAAAATGAATATAAAGTTCAAAAGAATTTCATTGTAATATTTTGTGACTGAAGTTTAAAATAATGCAAAACTTTTCAAACCTATGAAACAAAATTACACAAAATGTTTTATTTATAAGACATGTGACTGAAATTTTGATAAGAACTGTAAATCCAAAATCTCTACAATATACCATAAAATAATTAATATATTTATTCATTCATTATTGTCTGTACGTCGGTTATATTTACTTCTGAAATAATTAAATAAATATTTAAATGGAAATATTAAAATAAATTTTAAATAATTTTCTATTAATGTTGAAATTTAAAGTATTTAGTTTTTCCATTATGTTAATACATAGAAACCTTTTTTTCTTCTTTTTTTGAAAATTTACAAGTTTCAGCACTAAAAATATGCATTGAACTATTTCTCTATAACTTTATTGAATCTTCTTGATTCTCATTATATTACAAGCACTTTAATGACCTTGTATTCAAGTTTTACTTTATCTTTGAACAGTTTTTAACTTTATAGCGTATAATATCAATTTGTCTCGTTCCTAATAAACAAATAAAACTAATTCATTTGCAAAAACAACACAAACACTTAGTATTATATGCATAATATTTTTATAATTATTAAAAAAAAGTTAGTAGTAATAGAAATCGTTCCCAAGTTTGTTGCTTTTGTTTCACCGCTAAATTTTCTCTTGGATATTTTTCATGTAAACAAAGCAAAAAATAAATCAATATTCGTATCTTTAAAACCTCAAAAGTTAAACAACACTTGTCCTACAAAGAGTTCAATGCTGTGCTAAAATAAAATGTATACGTTGGAAGGTTATAAAAGTTCGAAGGAACGTACTAGATGTAGACTTCTAGACTTACTAGATGCTAGACTTCCAGTTATTCCACATATAGAATAACTAGAAAGAGGCGCCAAGTGACATTAAATCACTCATATAAACATTTCGAGGTTTAAAAACAAATTACAGTTACCAGAGGGTTTTTTTTCTACAAAGTCTTTAAATAAAACGGTTTTTAATGTGGAAAAATGTTTTAAGTAAACTCTTGCGTTGAGATTTTTTCCAATGTTATGTTCCTAAATACATTAAAATGTTGCTTAAAACTTACTTTCTATAAGCTCTTCCATTCCTCGTACTATACTTGTCATAAGAATGACTTATTATTATTTTAATAGTAAAGTTCAAAATCGAGGTAGCAATACGATACTTGAGAGATTTTCTGCGATTTCACAGAAATCGTATTTCCAGTCATTAAATATTCAATAAAGGCACACCTATTACATTGTTTCAATCTGAAGTTTAGTTTTTATATAAGTCATATTCCAAACTGCCATGTTATGACAGGGCAATTTTAAAAATTTTTGAATCATTGAGTGAACTTTACAATTACAGTTACCCGAGGTTTTTTTTTCTACTAAGTGTTTTAATAAGACGTTTTTTAATGCGGAAAATTCCATTAAGCAAACCTTTGTGTTGTTGAGTTGTTTTCCAAAGTTATGTTCTTAAACACATTAAATTGTTACTTAAAACTTACTTCCTGTAAGCTCTTCATTTCTTTTTACTGCGCTTATTATAAGAATAACTTATTATTATTATTTTAATATTAAATTTAAAAGTCGAGATAGTGATGCGAAACGTGAGAGATTTTCTTCTATTTCAATGAAATCTTATTACCTGTCATAAAGTATTCCATAAAGGCACATTGTTTTAATCTGAAGTTAAGTTTTCATATGAGTCATGTTCCAAACTGCAATGCTATAACAGGGCATTTTTAAAAGCTGTTAAATCATTGAGTTAACTTTGACCTCTGTTAAGGATGCTAAAATTAAACGCTTAAAGTATAGTTAGAAAGTTAAACAATAAGTTGTTATTTTAGATTTTATTAATTAGGAATCGTAATACCAATATAGAACTTAGATTTTTAATCTTGAACTTAGATGTGTAGTTTTGAACTTACTTTGTAATCTCAACAATAAGACCTCTGGATCAAGCTTTGAGATTAATTCTTCTCCGAGGTTTCCAATTACTATTTAAGTGAAATTAACCCTCACTTGAATTATATGAACAGTAAAAGCACGAAAACCTCCCAATGTTAATCCAAAGGCAAAAGAAATTAAACCTATGAGACGGATATTTCAGGAAACATAGTTTCCTACTGTGGATGGTATATGATGGGAATTTTATATAAATACCATAAAAACCTCACAAGGTTAGCCTGATGGTGAAATGAATTTAACCTATGAGACGGATTCTTCAGGGAACTTCTGTGGAATCACTTCTGTGGATTGTATGTGCTAGGAATATTATATGAATCGCATGAAATCCTACCAAGGTTATTCTGTTGGCAAAGGAAATTTAACCTATGAATCAGATATTTCAGAGAACACTATATTTCACTTTTGTGGATGGTGCAAATAATACCATTGTGTGGATGGAATATATAAAATGATTTTGATTATGTGAGTCCGGCAAGCTTGTAATTTCTTGCGTCGTTATCAAACAATCTAAGTGTTGAACATATAAAAATTAAAACTTTAAAGTGATTGAGTGATTAATAAAAAAATATAAATGCTTAACCGAAACATAAACCTTAAATGCATTTTTTTCAAAAACTGAATTGGCATTTAACATTTTTTTTTTATTTTGTCTATTTATTTTCTACTCAACACAATTCTTCTTAGAACATCTTAACAAAAAAATTCAACGTCTAGTGAAGCATTTAATTTCTACTTCACCCCTTTACGACTTTTAAATTCTCAAATTATCGGGACGACGTGAAAATTTTATAGTTGTAAGATTTTTCTAATCGACTAGATTCTTAAGAAGGAAATAAAATAATAAAGAAAAAATAAAAGACGATATTTTTAAATCTATCTAATAGCATGTATACACACAGGCATGTTGTATTTAAAACCCCTAACATCAGAAAGAGCCTTTCGCCAATGATGAAATAAATTTAAAGGCTCTATGATCTGTAATAGAATCCGGATAATTCGCTACATCAGTGAATATCTAGAAAAGAGAAACGAAATAAATAAATAATAAAAAAAAAATTCTTCTTACCGTTATTATCATTTCCCCTTCTTAAATTCTGTTTTATTGCTTTTATGTGAGGAGTGACGTTCTTAATAAAAGTCTGCCACTGTTATTATGCTCTATACTGAATCTTCTGCGCTTGAATGTTCTTTTGCTCTTTTACGAATCAGAGCTTAGGTTTAATTGAATCGTTCTTTTTTTTTTTCGTTCTTTCATTCTTCGCGCGCGAATGTGTGTTTTCTGTTATATAAGGAAATCCCTTGTCCCCCCCCCCTCACACACGCTACTTTTGTTTTAAATGACAAAGGGCTGAAGCATTGTCATTTGGAATTATAATTATCTATAGAGAAGGTGATACGGTGTTTTATTCCTTTTGGCAGAGAGAATTTGATTTATTTTGTACTTTTTTGGGAAAAGAGAATGTTCGAAGTTCTAAATATTTGTAACTCGAGGCTTGCTGTTTTGAACGTAAAAATTACATTGAATACAAACTGAGTGGTTTGCTCGTGAATTTGAAAATATATATTTTTTTAAAAAAAACTATAAATTCTTTCATTAAAAAGTCCTCTTTGAAATTTTCCGAAACAGGCGAAAATTAAAATTTTCTTGCGGCTTTCTGTTTATTATATTTTGTTTGATATAATACATTTAGACTATTACTTTTTGTGATCTATCGAATCCATTGTTTTAGAAATAATTTTTAAAGCCTTACCTAACAAATCAACTGATTTATTTAAAAAGACATTTTTGACTAATTTATTTTACTCTATGAACAGCTTTTGAAAATTGCCTAATTTTGCTTAGAATTTACGATTTTAATAATGAATTTTCAGTTCTTTTCTTTTAATTTACATAATCTAGGAATTTTTAACCAAGAGTAAATATTTTTAAAACAATAAATAGTTACAAGTTATGATCCTATTTATTTCAATAGTTATATCATAACGAAAAATTATTCTTTTCCTTTCATCCTTCAAAAAACTATGAAACAGATTTTTTTAAACTTTTTTTTGTGTTATTTATTTTTTGATTTATTTTTAGTGTATGAGTATTTATGTTTGATTTTTAAAAAAGTTTTTTCTTATCGGCAAATTACAAATTTATTTATGGTTTTATATTTTAAAAATATTACGTACAACGACTTATTAACGCATTAAGCCCACTAAAAGAAATTCTCGTATATATTATTTTCTTTTCCATACTTCAAATTCATCAAATTGGTTTCAATTTATAAATTAATAGCAAATGATCAAAGAGTTGCCAGTTGCGTGACTGTTTGATAATAGAATTTTAATTTAAAAAGTTTTTTCTCGGCAACACTTTTGCAATGAATGTTTTAACATATTTTTAAAAATAGAGAAGCAATTTTCCTGATGTCAAATACTCAATTACACAAGGAACAAAAATTTTGTTAAAATTACGGTACTATAGGGTGATGACATTTCTGGTAAAAAAAATTTGGTCAATAAAACCAAAATATAGAGTATTTAAACTGTTCATTTGGTAATTTTTTCATCCAAATGGTCACGAATTACCGAAAATTTTGATTTTCAAAATTATAGCTCTTATTACCGTGCATTTAGAAAAAAAATATAAAACTGAAAAGTAAGTGCAACCACATAAATTTAATCTTTAAGATATCATGATAATATTATTGAATTTTATCACGTTTACCAAGTTTTGTCACATATTGTAAAACTATATTTTATTGTTAAATTTATCAAAATCATCACTAAAGCGCTTCGATAAAAATGACCGAGATCTTTGACGTTACCATAGAGCCAGAACCACGGTAAATTTTACCATATTTTGGTAGTTTTTACCATACTTTTGTCTCAGTGTAATATGGAAAAATCAATTCATTCGAAAAGGCTAGATTTCAGGTGTTGGTGAGGCCAAGTAAGCTAGAAAAAAAAAATTATGCATACATAATATTTTTTGAAGATCTTGTATATGATTTTGGCTTGCCGTAGAAAAACCCAGTTTCTTTATCTTAAAACCAAATTTATAAATTTTTAAAAAAAAAATTTCTTTGGATGGAAGCTACATTTTTTTTCTCTCTCTCGAATCCCTCTTTAATTTTCAAATTTTTTTTTTTTTTTAGGTTTGATATTAAGTTGTGTTGTTATACAGTTAAATATATTTAGATAATATCTTCAAGACAATATTTCTTTTGTTGTAGATTAATAAATCAGAAACAATGAAATTACTTAAGAAGAGGGAGAAAATAAGATATGCTGTTCGCATTAGTAAAGGGTGAGTTTTTTTCTTATTTTAATTGCACTTTTGGCACTTTAAGATTTGGTAAAAGTTAAGTGTCTGCTTTCTTTTGATTTCCTTCGTACTTTCACTGATGATTAGTAGCAGTTAAATGTTTGTATTGTAAAAAAAAAACTAAATAAATAAAAAAAATTAAACTACATTTTTTTAAAGAAATTTACAATTTTCTGATATTTTATGGATATGACACATGTGAAATAATTATAATTTAAATTACAGTATCACACATTTCGTACCTTTTGTATAAAGATTATTAAAAAGCTAAATAATTCCCTCCGAAAATAAGTGATGTAACAAAACAATTTTCAATTATCAAAAAAAAAAAAAAATTATTCTTAATCTTAAAAACTTATAGTACATTTAAAACTCGTTTCACTTTAAATACTCATGTTTTAAATGATTGAAAAAATTATTGTTGGTTCATTTAACTGTAATAATGTTCTCTTTTATTGCAGATCGGAGCATAAATTTTCACGCTACTAATCTAAACATGAGCAGAGAAAATTATGCTTTTCTTTTGATAAGGAAATATTGCAGCACATGACACATTTGCATAAAGTAAATACATGAAGTAAGTATTTTGCTTAATAAGTAAATACACTCAGAAATATTTTCCCAAAAAATGAAAAAAAATATTTTTAAACATCTATAGCTTATTATATTTATATGACATTTTTTGAGAAATGTAGAAATTACGTTTTATTTTCTTAATTTCGTTGCGAAATTGTCAGTATTGTCTTAAACTATAAAGCACACATATTTTATTATTTGAATAATGATATAATCCTAATAAAAAATCGGAAATCATTTATATTTTCGAGAAAATTTTATGAAAGAAATCTACATTTAAAAAAATAACTTTTTGTTTCGTTGCAGAATTATAATCGTTAGTAAAGCGATTCTTTTCTTTTTTTTTCTTTCATTTTTTCTTTCTTTTCCTTATGTACGTCATTAAGCAGATTATGACTTTTCCAAGAGAAAACTTTTTTGTTTTTCCATAAGCGGTTTTAATTTTGTTTCTAAATAGCTGACTATTAAATAATTAATTTAATTTGTTATACGAAATAGAATAGTGTTCGAAGAAGAAAAATTACGACTAAAACTACCAGTATATGGTAAAATTTATCGTGTTTCCTGCTCTATGGGTACACCAAAGAGCTCAATAATTTTTACCGAAGCTCTTTAGTAAGGATTTTGGTAAAATTAACCGTAAAACATGGGCTTATAATATGTGATAAAATTCGGTTAATGTGGTAAAATTTGGTAATTGGTAAAAATTCCGTAATTTAGTTGAAAGTGGCATAAAACCATTTACTCGGTTAAATTTACTCTTCAGTTTTGTATTTTTTTCTAAAATTGCGGTAATAAGAACTGTAACTGTGAAAACCAGACTTTCCGGTGAACCATTACTATATGAACAGAAAAATTTCCAAATGAATAATTTAAACACTGTATATTTTGGTCATCAGAATTTTTTTTTTCTTCTTTTATTTCACCATAAATGACGATATCATAGAGTACTACAAGTTTAACAGAATTCTTTCCTTGTGTACATTTTAAACAAAAAATTACACCGTTGGTAAAAAAAACTTATTGTTGGTGAAAATGTCTGATTTTAAGCGATTTTTAGAGAATAGTCATTGTCCATTTTTAAGGATTTTACAAGCAGCATATTAAACAATTTTGAGATAAACTTCATGAAATTTATTCTCAAAATTGGTAAAAGTAGTTTTGAGATCCTAAACTTTTTTTCAAAATCTATATTGAATTGCCGTTCGGCAAAATCAAAATGCTACAAAAATTGACTAATTCTAGGAACTAATAAAGTGCTCAAGTTTTAGTTAAACTATTAAAAAAATTAAATTTATTGATTCATTTTTCAAAATTATACTACTTTTTTTTTAAACATGGAAACCTTTGATTTGTATTAAAAATCTTAAAACGTATCTAGAATCTGTTTTTATTTTTTTATTTTTTGTGAAATACGCTACGTTATTCTAAAATGATGCCGATTTTAGTAGTCATTGTGTATATTTTAGTAATGATAGCGAATGGACCTCATTCCCATTTTTACCTCATGATTTATACCATTGCTTCAAAATTTATAGTCACTGTTATTTTTAGGCTCAAACAATAGTCATTTAAGTCATTGAAAGTCTTGATAAGAGCGGTCATCTTTTGATAGCCAACTTAACTACGCCTAGGTCATACGAACATGACATGCAATTTCCTGTTAAGTCCATTTCCTCCAAAATCAAGTAAATCTCGGAAAAAATAAAAGATAAAATAAAGAGGGCTATTTTATGTCGTAAAAGATAAAGCAAGGCCACGACTTCGAGACACTTCAACCGTGGCAGTTTCACAGGGCGATGAGAGAAGACTTTCGCCAGCAACGTAATGACCGCTACGGATGGCGAGTTTTTTACTGGACGCTTGTGACCTTCCATTTTTTCTTGCCTTTAGTAATGATCGCTTCCTTTTGATTTAAGACTAGGCTTTCAGGCTTGGCTGACTGACTCCCACGAAAAATGATTTTTCAACGGCTTTCCCAAAGTTTCGAGATCTTCTCATTGTCTGGGGTAGTGGACTGCGGAAATTGGCCAGTTTTTCACATAAATGTTCACGTCATATTCGGTGATATATATATTATGTTTTGGAAATACTGATGCAGGAAATCAGTAATTTTTTTCTTAACAATGATCAGCTCTTAGTTAAAAGTTATTATTTCAATCGATAAATTTTTTTATTAAAGTAAAGAAGGCACGAAAGGCAACATATTTGTATTCTTTCTATTTGTATTTAATGCAATCCCGTTGCATAAATTTTCATCGTAAGCGCAAATGCAAATCCTTTATAAATAAAACGCTGCTTGAAATGCTTAAATTTAAGAAAAATAAGATTTTTCTGAATTTAAACTGCACTACTAGAAATTTTAGAGCGTGTTGAAAATATCCGTCCAAATTGCAGCAATCTTATTTTGATGCTAAGTTGAAAATTATGATCGTACCTCATTTCCTTGATCTTGATATTATATAATATTATAGTTAGTACATAATTAAATATAAAGTTTCAACATAAGCGCAGATGCAGATCTTTCAGAGATAAATGCTGCATAAAAACTTTAAGTTTTAGATAGGGGGGAAAAAGGATTTTCCGAAATTTACAGATTTAAATTTAAATTGCACCCCTAGAAATCTTTGAGCAAGTTGAAAATGTCCGTTCAATTTACAGCAATCTTATTTTAGTACTAAGTATGTTATAATGGTACCATAATGTTATGTAATCAAGGAAATGAGGTACTAATATAAGCTTCTTATATTAGTACCTCATTTCCTTGATTACATAACATTATGGTTCAAAAGGGTTCAATTCAACTTAATATGTTTTCACCAAATTTGTACCGTGTTGTGGTTTAAGTTACCGATGTTATGGTTCAAATGTTTTGAGAGTGTATTGTTGATTTCGATTTTATAGTTTTTTATTTCATTGAAAATTTATAAACTATTTATCTGTGGTAAAAGAGTATCCAATATTGAATCAAAGATATAGTTATGCATTCAATCTTTCTATAACTGACATGCTTACTTTTCTTCAACACCAGTCATCATGTGTACATCTACATATAACAGTGTATTTATATTTGCGAATAGGTGCATTGTCAATAGTAAAAAATGATCAGGAAAAACTCATTTAACTTTAATAAATCTATATTTTCTGATAAAGTTATAGAATTAACTTTCAGACAAAGATCCAAGAATCTGGTTTTTTAAATTCGAATAAAACGTAATATAGTTATCCTATTATTTGTGTTATTTTCGATTATGCTCTTTCGCTTTTGTGAGATCTATATTTCTGAAAAACACATGCGCAATTTATAGTAAGTTTTTCTATGCACTGATATTGGATGTTTTAAAACTTTATATTTTGAAATGTACCTCATTTTCTATGTGAATTATTCTTATTCGAATCCTTATATTCGCGAATAGGCTCGTTATCCATAATAAAAATGGCTTAAAAAGTTCATTTTGTTCGCCAAGGTTATAAGATTAACTTTCAGACCAGGATCTAAATATATATATATATATATATATATATATTTTAAATTCTAATAAAACAGAGTTTAGTTATCCTGTTATTTGTATTGTTTTCGATTTTATTATTTCGCTTTTGGGAGATCTATATTTCTAAAAAACACATGCATAATTTTGTAAGTTTGCAATGGGTGTGATTTATAGGGATGTTGCATATTTTAAAACTCAAAGCAACTTAACGTTTTGAAATGAAATCACTTAATGATAAAATTCTGATCACTTTTCCTTTTCAAACTTTTGCTAAATCCTCTCATTTTGAAACATTTCCGTTATTAACTTCTCCTTTTATTTTTAAATATGTTTGTAGAAATAAATAATAATATTTGAAAGTATTCAATTTATTAAAATTTGAATATTTTCTAATGTATGAAATTTGAATGAGATCTAATTTTTCTCGCTCTGTCTAATCTTAAGCGACGCATCACTTAACCATTTTATTTAATCCTAATTAATTAATGATTAATATCTTTAATCTTCGCAAAGAGGATTATTTTTTAAAATAATACGCCTTTTTTCGAAGAAAAAAAAACTCATACCGAACTTTCATTGAAAGATGCAAAACAACGAGAGTAAAGCACAAATAAAGGCACACTTTTATTTAATTTAATCGTGATCACAAGTCGTCATAATTTCTAATTTTAAAATTAATCGTGGTTATAAGCTATTAAAATTTAAAATTATGAATGTAGTTATGTGTCTACATGTAGTTATGTCTCACGTAATGTTAAACTAATATTACAAACAGTTATGATTTTACCTAATTTTGATTATAGTTTCAATTTTGAGTGCTTGTTATCTTAATTAAAGAGTAGCTGATTGATATCAACAATTTATTTTGCTTAAATCAGATGTCCTTGATTGATGAAAAATATTAAAAAGGCTCGAATTCAAACATATCTACAAGAGATAACAATTATAGGGACATTCGATCTATAACAATTTTCCCAATGTTAACTTCAAATTGTATTGCTTTTAAACACGATTATTAAAATTGAGCAATTATGAATTATTGCACAATTATGAACAATTATTTAAATGTATAGAATTTTTAGATACTTCCCTTTCACTTTTACGCGATTAATTTTTTTTTCTTTCCAAAAGATTCTGTACTTGGTCTTTGTTGCCTATTGTTTTTAAGCATTGTATTTCTATAAAATTCAACCTGAAAAGTTTTGCCTTTCATAAATATTTGCAACGTATAAAACATTTGAGAGGCATGTTTGGAAGAGGAAAAAATGCAAAAAGTACTAAAAATCAGCTGCAACAAAACTAGATATCCCGAATCAAATTTTAGATGATATTCAATTTTTAACAAAAATTATTTAAAAAAAATTAATTTAACCATTTTTTTTTCTTATTTGGAGTTGATTGACAGCAAATAAGGTTACATATAAGGTCTACAGACTTAAAAGGGTTAAGACTAAAAAAGAAGTTAAGGCGTTAAGAGGGTTACGCATACTCATAAAAAATATTAGAGGGG